TCTGGCACACATTGATCTAGAGAATCAGTGACCACTTAAGGCAGTTTGGGGCTTTTGCTTACTCAGCGTCCTCTGTTCCGGAACAGTGTCTGGGAATCCTGGACCTCCTCAGACTGTTGAGTGGACTGAGAAACTATGCCAGAAAGTCAAAAGATAACAAGTACAATTTTCTTTGGTGCACACCTGGACATTTCTCCTTACTGGAGTTTCAACCAGTCTGGAAAACGTCCCATTGAATCTACAGCATTGAGTAGTGGCTCTGTTTTCTAAGACAATGGGCAGGCTCCTGGGTTTGTGTCTCTGCACTGAGTGCTTCAGCACCAAGAGGTTTCCCTCACAATAATGAATAGTTGAGGAGAGCTAAAGATAGAAGAAGCCTTGGACACCTTGGATTCGGGAAAAACATCAGCCTTCTGGTTACCTCCAATGGTTCACAACCCTTCATGATTTCATAGCCATTGATCTCCCCTCTCCCCAACTTGCTCTCTGATTGACCTGCTTCCCACAACCCATAATTGTGCCAGTCACCCCTTGGCCTTTCCCTTGCCGAGCCTGATTAATAACACACTGGATACGTTTCCTTGTTGCATCAAAAACCAATTTGGCCCGAATGGGTGAAAGACTGGCTAATGAGGATGTGATAAGATCTTCATGTTGGATAAGCCTTTTTACTGGGCTGGCCTTGGGAGATGGAGGTAGGAGAAAGGGCCATGATGTAACCTTTGTTCAGCAAGCTTTCCTCCAACTCCACAGCAGAGTCTGATTCCAATGACCTATATTCAGTTATTGGAGTGTCATCTGATGCCTGGGGACTAAGTGATAAGAATCCCATTGTGACAGGTGTTTGCCCACACCAAAGTTTAGGCTAAACATTTTGGATCATAGTTGTGGTGCTAGGAAGGAGTGGAGGAGGAGAAAATGGAAGAGAAGGAGGAAAGGGATTAGTTGTCTGTCTTCTCTCTATGTCCTGAAATGGCCTGGGCATGTACAAAGTCAGAAGTGGACAGATGAGCCTGGAGTTGCCCAGCCACAGAGAACAGGGCACCTGTGCTGGCTGCCTCCTCACCGTGCACAGGTCCATCATTTACAGTTGCTTTGAAGGCCTGCTTTGCTGACAGTCCGTGTTGAGGACACTCACACCAGGAGACGGAGCTTCCAATCTTGTGTAACGGTAACCAGCCAGGCTTTCCTTGGCATCCTGGGGAGGTTCTACAATGTTCCTGGAAGGGGGTGTTTCCTTGCCTGGTTTCTTTGAGCTGTCCTTCACCTCATACTCACATCACAAGAGACTGAGGCTTCCTTAAGACCTTCTGGTCCAGGCTCCCAGTTCACAGATAGGGAAACTAGGGGATGCAGACAACAAGCGGCTTGATAGATGTCACAGCAGGTTGGCGTCTGTCATCTCTGGCATTGTCGGAAAATACTTTCAGGAAAACCGAATTACAGTAACAAACTTCATCAGGTATTTAACATGTACCAGGACCTGTGTGACATATGTTATTCAATGTATCTCCTGAAAAATCTAACAGGTTAGCACTGTTTTTTTTTTAATCTCCATTTCTTCAGTGGGAAAACGCAGTTCTGAGAGAAAAACTGGGGGATCCAGCCTTCTAAGCTTTGCTGTCTGCATTTGGAGTCCCCATGATCTTCCAGCTCCAGGCTGATTCTAGTCCCACCCACCCCCCACCCCGCTTCATTTTATGGGTGGTGACATCCACAGTCCCCAAAGAAGAGCAGCTTGCCCAAGGCCACTGCCATCTAATGATCTTTGGGTAACATTATTACTACTGAGAGCCACTAGCCTGTCCAAGCATGAATCACATGCCAGGGAGTGGGCTGCATCCTTTACATCCCCCTGTTAGATTTTAACCATGATCCAGGTGGAAGTCGGCACTACTGGGAGAGACAGCCCAGAGCTGGGAAGTGATGAATAACACACCCCACCCCACCCCACCCCCGCTCAGAAGTTATGATTTGAGCAGAAGCCACCAAGTTCTAAAACTGATTTGCCTGATTCTGCTCAGCAAATCCAGGCACCTGTCCATGTGTCTTTAACTAACTAACTAACTAACCCTGCAGGTACTAAAGCAAGAGATCTAGGTACAATTCTGGCTTTCTATTCAGTAAGTATCTCCTGCATTCTTAGGTGCCTCCACACCCCTGTGTGCCTCGATTTCATGGCTGGCACCCTTGTTCCTGCCCCAGCATCTTGGGAAGTAGTGTGTACGTATGCCTCCCCAGCCAAAAACTGCTGAGTGGATGCTCTTCTACTTCTTTCCATTAGGTCCCTTTATCCCCAGGTCTGAGAGGTTTCTCCATTGCTCCCTCCACCCGGGAGGCTCAGCACTGGGCAGCCACATTTGTTGTGAGTTAGATGACAGCTGCCTTTGCATTTTCTTCAGATGGAGCACGGGCTGGTTATTAAGTGGTTGTCAGCAAGGCCTCTTTTCTGGCCAGCTCAGGAGGACAGCAGAGCCAGGCTGAGGATGCTCCCTCCAGATGCCTGTGGAGGGGAGCACCGAAGCCCCCATTGTAAGTCCTCAGCCCTCTGTGCTTGAGGGGCACACATAGAGAACACTGGCTCATACAGGCAGGCTCACTCTGGCTTTGAAACCCTGCCCCATGTGCAAGAGACAGGAGAGAAGCAGGCCCAGAGAGGCTATAGAGCAAACTAAGACTGAAAAATAGCCATAGTGGCTGAGGAGGCAGATCAGTGGGGAAAGCACCTGTCACACAAGTGTGAGAACTGGAATTCAGACCCCTGGAACCTGCATAAAAGCACGTCATCACACAGGGAGACAGAGACAGGAGCCCTGGGGTCAGCAGGCTAACTAGTCTAGCCAGAATTGGCAAGTTCTGGGTTCAGCAAGTGGCTAAGCCTCAGTGAAGTAGAAAGCAATTGAGGAAGATGCCTGATGTCAACTTCACACACACACACACACACACACACACACACACACACACGAACCCACACATACATGTGCCCCCACTCATGAGAACATGCACACACAACACATGTACAGGCAATGGCCACAGAGATCAGATTCCAGGAGGCCAGGCCCCATCAACACAACATGCTGATCATTCCAAAGTGTATGGCTGTCAGGGCTGCTGGGATTTCCAGAAAGAAAGTTCATTTTGACCTTAACCAGTTTTACCCAAGTGGGGGAGTGTTGCTTCTTTCTCCAGGCTGCTCCAGTTTCTCCTTATTTTAAATCCTGCAGGATTTATGATTCCCTGAGGGCTCAGAGAGACAAATACTGCTCCTCACTGTGGAAGGCTAACAGATCTCTCCCCATGCACGCTCATACACTCCCTTGCAGTCTCCGAAGATGCCTCTGTCACTGGTGGTTGTCTAGGCTCAGGCCGTAGCCCTGTCGTCTTGGGACTTGAATGCATTGTGTCCCTTTGATTTTTTCCTTCCGCCTCTGCCAAAGAGTCCCAAATTGGAGATTCTGGGTGCCACCATTTGCCTGGACTCCAGACTCATACACCACCTGGATGTCTAAAAGGCCACACCAACTTTCTTCCTGCTCCCTGAGGCTGCCTCCTGTTCCCTCCTCATGGTCTTTGCCTTGGCCATTGTCTCCACTTGGGAAATGGTTTTTCCTCGGGTTCTTATGACAGCCCCACTCTTCATCCATGTCTCCTCCTTGGAAAGACCACTGACAACTGCATTACCTAAGCCAGTTCTCATGCAGGATCCCACCTCCCACAGTCTATCCCTTTAACCTGCTTTTTCTTGGTTTTGGCCACGTCATTTGTCCTGCCTGAGATGACATTGCATGCTTAGGTACATACATATGATGACTCTGCTCCCCTGTGGCACAGGGGAGAAATGGGCAAGTGATAACAAGAGGACTGGTAACCTGTGGGTGTAATATGATGCTGGCGTCCATCCTTCCTCTATTCCTGCAAAAAGTCTTCCTTCCAGAAACGGCCATGTGACTTAAGTTTCACATCTGTGTTTGTCGAGGAGCAAAGCTTGTGTCTTTGTCAGCCGAGGTGCCGCTCTCCCAGCCTCTTCTGCCTGACCCTCAGTCAGCACTGCTCAGGGCTTGAGGTCTCTGCATCAACTGCTGGATGCGGTGTCTGGGACAGACCTGACTCCATGGGCAGCAGTACATGAGAGCCTCTTGCCTTTACCCGCAAAGGTATCCACATGTTGTAACATTGCTAATCAGACACTAACCTACCTCAGGTCTCAGCTGGAGAGCCCCACGCTGTTATCACTTGGTGATCTGATAGCTTTTTTCATTTTGTATCTTCTGGTGCAGATGGTGCGTGTGTGTGTGTGTGTGTGTGTGTGTGTGTGTGTGTGTGTGTGTGTACAATCATTTTTATTAGCTCTCCTCACAATATCCTCTTTTATTAAAAACACAAATATTACTATAAATATCTTGGTAGGGAGTTGAAGGGGGTTTTGAAAGCGACTAGGCAAAATGATAGACTATCTGTAGATGTAGGCTGCTGTTCAGACAAATGGCTACAATATCGTAAGAGCCTTTTTTCTTCAAGGCAGACTTCATCTATTCACTTTCAGATGGGATGCAACAGCCCAGTGCATGCTGGTTTAAACTAAGACATGTCACAGGGGAAAAGGCAAGGTTAGGGAGACTATCAGTGTGGTGCTGTGAAACTCAGGCTAGCCTTAAACTTGTGATCCTCCTGCCTTAGCCTCCTGAATGCTGCGATTATAGGCATTTGCCATGACTCTTGGCTAATGAGATCATTTTAAGGAAAAAAAATTGTATTTAATACAATTTGCTTTCTATTTAGCTGTTTCCTGCTCAGAAATTTTCTTTCATTCTTTTCTTTGATAATGTGAAGGACTTTTTGTTTGAGAACATGCATGTATATATGACATGTTCCGATCAACTCTGCCCCACTCTCCCCTTCCTGTCCCTCTCCTATCGACCCATCCCTTTTCCCTCCCAACTTCCCTGCCTCCACTTAGGGCTGCCTGGGTAGTCTCAGAAGCTGAGACCTTCTGAGCTGGGTCAGTGTCTGATTAGCAATGTTACAAGACCTGGACACCTTTGCTGGTGAAGGCAAGAGGCTAGCCTCATGTACTGCTGTCCATTAAGTCAGGTCCATCCCCGACACAGCATGAGTGCTAGACTGTCTGCTGCCTCTCAGGCCACCCAGGGCCACATCCCTTCTGTAATCCATTCATTCTCCTCAAGCAGCCATCAGTTGACAGTTTTTTTCTTATTGTTTTAGTTCTGACCCAGGGTTCTCCTTTGCTGCTAAAGTGGGTTTGTCATGGGGTTTCTGCACTTATGAAGCATGCTGACTGGTAAATACACACGTTCTCTCCATATTTGGCAAGGTACAAAACACAATCCCATTGACCGTCCCATGCAACTTCATGAGAACTCTGAGATAGGTACACGGAGACGCCCCTGCAGCAGACAACAAGAACAGAGCTCAGAGGGAGCGTGCAACCCAGCTGCTGTCAGATTGGGGCCAGAGGACAGGCACTTGCACCCAAGATCTTCCCTATCAAATCGTTCCTACAGTATTGTAGGGAAACGGGTCCGTCCATTCATTTTATTGTCCGTTTATCTACCCAGACACCCAGCCACCATCTATCCACCCACCCACCCACACAGCCATTTAAAACTCTTTATTGAGAACATACCATGCACTAGACACTGCCTAGATTTTCTAGTTTGGCAGGGAAGACAGAAGTAAATGGATACTTCGGTTGACTTGTCACTGGTGCTGACACACCAGCACCCAGTCTTTTTTTTTAAGGAGCTCTGATAAAGTTTTATTAAAGAAAAACTTTCCTGGTTTACTTTTCACCAGTCTGTTCTGGCATGCTTCTAATACTATCAGAATCACCTGGGTCAATGCTAGCCAGTGTGCATACTCTGCAGTATTTTCCACATGCTGTGCCCAATTCAATGTTATTGCCACTGTAGCGATGGACACCAGTTTTAGCCAACATGGCATAGTATTCTATTTCAGATTTCCTCAAAGCTGGACAGTTGTTGGCGAGGACAACCAATTTCGCTTTGCCCCGTCTGATCACCTTCAGAATCTGTTTGTACTGTAGCACGTACTTTCCACTTTTCATAACAACTTGGAGCCTAGAGTTGATCGACTCCAGAGACTTTTTCCTCTTCTTTGCGGCCACCATCTTCCTGCCTTAGGTGCGGGACAGCCCCCAACCAAGACCAGCCCCCAAGGTGGCCGGGGAGCGAGAAAGGCAGCACCCAGTCTTAGTAAAGAAAAGAGGAAGGCTTGGCTTGGGACACTGGTCAGGGAAAGCTTCCTGGAGGAAGTGACACTAGAGGAAATCTTGACACATGTGTGTGGAGGGGTAGCAAGCATTTATTCTTCTGAGTTTTATTGGTTTTTTTTTTTTTATGTGTCACTTTCTGGATGTCTCCTATGCCATTGTCGGCTGAGCTCCATTGTCAAGAGCACAATGGGACGGGGCTTGCTGGAAGAGGAAGCACGCTTCCAGTGAGGGTGACTGGAATGGCCAGGTGGCCCGAGAAGCCTGGAAACACCCAACATGTGGACTGTGCCCTGCTTTCTTATTGGCGGTGAGAGAGGCCGTATGCTTTAAGGTGTTTATTGCTCCACATTTGTTAAAGTTCTGTGGCTGTTATAAAACACTGACCGAGGCAAACTATAGGAAAGAGGATTGATTTAGACTTAGGGTTCCAGGGTTGCAGAGCGTATGCCTCTGTGATGGCAGCAAGTGCCAGGCATGGTGGCAGGAACAGGAGCAGAGGGTTCACACCTAAGCAGAGAAAGCAGACTAGATATGGCACAAGTCTTTAAACTCTCAGGGCTCACCTTCAGTGACATACTTCCTCCGGCAAGGCCACGCCTCCCCAAACAGTGCCAACAACTAGGGACCAAGTATCCAAGTGTCTGAGACAATGGGGAGGGGTCACATTTAAACTACCGCGTGCACGTGCCCTGTGCTAAGGGAGCAGTGGGCCAGACAGTAGGACCGTCACCAATGCCCAGGCGCTTGCACCAGCGTCCCTTCCTCTCAGCATTTGCCTGCGCTGCCCACCGCTCCCCTTCCACCTGCTTTTCTGTTCTTTGTCTCTCAGGCTGACACAGAGCTCTGATCAGCTCCCACAGAGGTTCACATGTTGCCCCAGCTACTAGGCTTAGGTATTTGCAAACCTGATTCATCTCTGAGCCATGGGCTCCGTGGGAGAGACATTGTAACACACAGTGCCGTCCATGCCTGGCATAATGCAGGTGAATGGATGAGGGGCTGTGCACTTGACTTGACAGAGATTATTCAGGATCAACTGTTTTCTTGCCCGTTACACAGATTTCAAAGCCTTGAAAGGTAAAAAGACATGCTAAAAGGACAGGACAGGCCCCATGCTTCCCAGGGCAACAGTTCTGCCATCCCACCAAGAATTTTCATTTCATTCCATTTGTTTGTTTGTTGACAAGCAGAAGGGGCCTATGTGCTGCTGTCAGGTAGAGAAATGGGAGCTGAGGTGGACTGGCCCCTCTCCACTTCGGAGCGATGTAGACTGTGTGACGGTTCACTGGGGCCTCAGCCTTTTGAATGGATTAAGGGGGCACGGCCAGGAGGCCCTGGCAGGTGGAAGATCAGAGCAGGCAGCATTTGACGAGGTTCTCTGAGGCCCGAGCAAACAGCTCCTCTCTGGAGAGAGGATCCAGGCTTCACTGAGCATGTACGAGACAAGCTCCATGTGCGGGGAAGTGATGCGGACCGCAAACACATTTCTCCCCCTTGGCTCAGCAGCGCAGGCAGCCTCTCCTCGGCATGCCATTTATCTTTTGATTTCTGAGTTGCAGCGAACTCTTTCTGGCCAGTGGGAAGCAGAGGCTGGGCTTTGGGAGTGGGGTGCCTACCTCAGTCTCATTTCTGGACTTCCCTGGCTTCCAGAGACCGTGTTGGATTCTTTGTTTCCTCGCCTCAGTGTCTCTCCTTGGCAGTGTGCCCCAGGCTTCATGGGACCCCCAGTGCATTCTCCCATGCCGCTGCTTGTCAAAGCCCCGTGTGAGGCACCTTATCAGTTCCCGAGCAGACTCAAGGCGGCTGCGCCCTGTGCACACCCTGAATCACTGATAGGCATACTGCTGGAATCACGGCACTTTAACGAAGCCCAGAGCCTCCACTGTTCACGATCATAGGACTGGCAGTTAAATTCTCATGGGGAGAGTGGAGTTCAGGGGTGGGATAGCACTCAGCAGATGTCACCTTCTAGGGAACCCACTCTCTCTCAATAAGTGCCTGGTGTCCAGCAGAGGACAGGTATAAGTTAAAAAAGCGGGGGTGGGGAGTGATGACTGTACCTCCCTGGGTGCTGTTAAAGGAGTCTGGCTTCCCAGACACCCATATCCAGAAGGCAGGTGTCTACCTGTCCCAGACTCTGAGCTCCTGGCGGGCAGAGACTCAGTTGTATTCATCCCATTTTCCCAGCACCAGGCTCAGGGCCAGGCCTATGGAGAGAGCCAGGCTGTGTACTTTTTCCACAGCCCTGACTTCTGGCATGGCCTTGTCCCTTATTTGCTGTGTGGTCTTGGGAAAATTGCTCAGCCTCTCTTTGCTCCCTCCCCAGTGACAGCAGAAGCATAAGGCAGAGGTCCTGGAGAGGGTGCTGTGCAGGTAGCACCTGGAAGGAGGGGGAGAATTAGAAGAGTCAGGTTGGCTCTGTTCACTTGCAGCTGTGGGTGAGATGGGCAGCGGCTCCCAGACAGCCCAGGTGGAACAGATCGATCGGGAAGTGAGGACATGGACCCTGGCAGTCAGGTGTGGAGCCACTCAGGGAAAAGGTACTATGGGAAAGCCAAGGACACCAGGAGAGATTTTTGTTTGTTTGTTTTTGTTTTTGAGTTACTATGATCTGGTGCAGCCCGGGCTAGCCTTGAATTTGCTGGTAGTTGAGAATGTCCTCCTGCTTCAAAGAGTGTCCGTCCACCACACCTGGCTGAGATTTTTAGAGAGCAAGCATGAGGAAGAGCCTTTTGGTGAGTTTGCCATGGAATAATATCAACCGTAGCTATTTTGGAGGCAGGGGCAGGTGAGGAAGGGTGAGAGATGCCATGTCAGGTCCCTAATACTCTCCAGGCTGATCGCCTCAGTTGCTGTGGTTCTTTCCTCCACTCTGAGCTGCCATAGGGAGCTGGAGAAACCTGTGAACACTTCAGAAGGTTTTTCCCAGTCTTTTGAAGGTCTGGGGGCTCCTCTTAGACCCACTGGTAACTTAGCCCACATCCTGCCTATGGCTTCCCTGGCTGCATGCAGATGCCAGCATGCCACACCCATACCCCTGCTGACTACACTTCCATACTGGTTCCTCGCCCACCAGCACTGAACATCTAATAACCCCTACCCCATCCCACTGCCAATTGAACATCCCAAAGCAGATTGAACAAGGGCCATGGGTAGTTTTCATGTCTCTATTTATGGACATACATAATGAAGCTATATAATTAACATCATGTATTGCTTTCCAGGATCCTTAAAAAATATATGTTTGTCTTAACATCCCTACTCCATACTGTTGCTATGCTGCTGGCAGTTAACCACATGAGTGGAATCTTTTATGAAAACAAATAAAACCATTGAATATTAGCATACATCTTCACTTCATTCTGGCAACAGATGAGATTTGAACACAGTGCGGCAAGGTTGCTATCTGTCAAGCTCCTGAGGCGGATTTTTCTCTGTATTGCATTTCCATAGGCTTCAGCTGTTTCTTGTAAATGTGTCATCTTTGGGGTTCTGAAAATCTGAAAGGCACTGGCTAGGGATTATGCTGATCTAGGAAAGTCATGGCATGCCAGAGCAGGCTCCGGACTCTCCATGACCTGAAATCTCACAGCTGCCATAGAGTGGGGTACTGTTGAGTAGCCTACTGGGAGGAGGAGTGTGCAGAAAGGGAGAGTTCCCATTTCTGGGGTGCCTTTAGCAGGAGAGCAGGGTGCAGCAAGACATCACTTACCTGGCAAAGAGGCATTCTGAGCCCCTGGGCAGTGTGCTTGTGGTGGATGCAGGGACTAGGTATTCTGTATACCTTATACATGCAAACTCAATCTTCCGCTGACTCTGATCATCTTTGTGTCATGTCAGGGTTCATGCCCAGCCCTCTGCATCCCACCTCCTGCTCCCCACCTTAATCAATGGCTCCAGGGGCCCATGGTGCAGGCAGAAGGTCCCTGCTGTCACTCACCCCTGTGCTCTCTGTAGTCTAGAAGCCCACCCTGACACATTTACAAGAAACAGCTGAAGCCTATGGAAATGCAATACAGAGAAAAATCCGCCTCAGGAGCTTGGCAGGGTTCCCTAGCATGACAATTATTATAGGGTGGTTATTCACCCCACCTTGCCCAGAACCAGGAGGGTTCCTGGAACATGGGACTCTCAGTGCCTTATGCTTCTGCTGTCATTGGGGAGGGAGCAAAGAGAGGCTGAGCAATTTTCCCAAGACCACGTGTATAAATATTTCAGCATAATCCCTAGCCAGTGCCTTTCAGATTTTCAGAACCCCAAAGATGACACATTCACCCTGACACCTGAACTGACGTCATGACTAAGGAGTCCCTGCATTTCTTGAGGCTCAGCAAGGCATGCCCCCTCCCAGGAAGCCTTTGCTCACTCCCTAGATAGGGTAGCATCTCTCCTCCATGCTTACCCCCTTGTAGGCCAGTGATGACTGTACCCTCCATGCTCTGTCTTGTTTTTTTCTCCCACTGGAGCTTTGTGAAGGCAGGGGTGTGTTTTATTACACTTTGCTTTTCTGGCACAGTGTGTAGCCAGCTTCTATATAATCCAGATATAAGCATGCAGTAAACATTTGAAGATTCACTTGTATAAATATTTCAGTTAATGAGCAGATGGAAGAACAGATAACAAACTATAGGACAGGTGCTGGTGACTCTAAATCGTGCATGTGTGGTTGAAAAGCAAGAATGGAGTGTCATTCTTGAAAGATTGGGAGGTCAGGGGTCTTTCCTGAGACAAGACAGGAAATGTCACATTTCGATGCTTTGAAATGCCCTGGCCGTGGAAAGGGGCACTGGAGGTAAGGAGGAAACAAAGAGAGAGGCATTGGCAGGTCAAGGCTTGGTAGACACTGGAGTCTGGGGATGTGGGGTCCGGAGAGGATAGGCCCCACCAACCACATTGGGAGTGATCGAATCAAATACAACATGAAGTTAATGTAGCCTGT